ATATATATATATATATATATATATATATATATATATATACAAATGTAGCAGTGAAATATTTGGTGCCACTTAAAGGAGCCACTTTTGATTTTTACCCTCCAAGAAGTCTCATTTTCCCCACCTCCACTCTGCATTAAAGTTTTCCTTCCAGTTGCATCAGTCTTTCAAAGCCACAATCAGTTGAGCAGCTCTGGCTCGTTGCTCATGTGTTTCTAGTGCGCTGCGCAGATAATCAAAACAGTTTACCTGAACTCTGATTAGCACAATTTGTTGCTCTCTACAATGGAAGGATTCTGCCAGTTCTCTAGAGAAAAGCTTTTGATGTGGAAAAAAAAAAAGCAACAGCATTGGAAAAAAGAAAATCTGGATTTTGAAATGGCATCAACTTAACTCCAAAGTTTAACGTTCATTTTCAGTAGCTTCAACCTTAAAGACGTATGCCAACTTGGACTAAAGGAAGAACCCTTCATGTCCGATGTGTGTTGTTCTATTAATTCCTGCTCTGGTTGTTTGTGTCCCTCCATTTGCTTTGTCTACTGTGCATATGTTGCATTTGAAGTGAGAATAGTTGAGGGGCTCTTAAGTGGAAGCCAGGATCAGGGGATGAATGGAGTTACTATGACACCAGACACAAGCACCTCCACTCCAGCAGCTTCCTCTGTTTCTCCAGCCTCCCCTGATGTTTCACTCTCAATCAGCCTGGATTTTTACCTCCCATTGTTTCTCCTCTCCCCTCTGTCGCCTTTCTTTTGCATCTTTTAGTTTCTGCGTATGGTCTTTCATTTAGTTGAGCTCCTCTGCCTAAATGGATCAATGTAACACTTCCCTGTGCTTTCTCAGTCTCATGCTCTGTTTTCTGTTTCTCTTTTCTTTTTTTTTTTTTAATCCTCAACAGACAACCGCCGCGTACTCCTGGAAAGGTCTCGCTCCCGCCACAATGCAAACTACCAGGGTCGGTGATTACCCGCGCCTACCACAAAACGCTAGACAAGTGCCAAAGAGGCCTGCGATGACGAGATGAGGAAGACGCCTGCCGGAGGGACAGACCACCTCTCACTGTGGCACACACACACACCCATCATACACACCACCAAGTATAGAACAAAAACGACCGAAGAAGACATTTTACATATTTATTCATTAAGTCGTCTTCTCACTTTGATTTAAAAAATAAGGCCTCTGCTTTTTGAAAAATCATATAAGGTATTTGAAAACCTATTTTAATCTTTTTGTAATCAAAATATCACAAATCAAACGTGGAATATAGACGTTCTCATGAAGGACTACATGCTTAGAACAGAGGAAGGCGGGCAGCTCTCCTTTAAAAAACAAGTTGTCTCGGCAAGTCTTAACCGAAATGAGAACAGCTTGTTAATGTTTGTTTCTTGCCAGCGACAAAGACAAATTTCAATAATAATCATGTCTTCGAATTCTAACAAAGCCACAAGAACTGTTCACTGTCTACACATAAGATGCATTTTAATTGATGTCTAATAGTTTCAGGTGCTGATCCTGGGGTCACTTCTGCCGTTAACATGCAGAGACTCCGATTTTTAAAAGTGTCCCACAGTCAGGAGGAACTTTCATGATTTTCTTAATCATCCTTAAGATCACAGAGAAGTGAGGGACACGTCAAGATACAAAGGTATTGCAACATTTTATGGCACTTTTAAAACATGAAGGCTATAAAAGATGAAAACCTTCCTGTGATAATATGTGAATGTTGCCCCTATTATTATTTTTATTTTTAATTAGTGTTTTGTAAAAAAAAGGCAAGAGCATGTTTGGTTAATATAATTTAATTAATGTAAATAGAACATTTGTTTTACTGTATACAAACTGACATGTTGCCAAGTATACTTTACATTATAGGAAACAGTCTGGGCTGTTTTAATCCTTAAAGAAATAGTTGACACATTTTGAAGTGACGTAACATGAAAAGGTTATAAACAATTATCATTTTCTTTGTTATAAACAGCTTGAGGTTGAGAAAACAGAGTTTAATGCTGACCAGATTGATGTGCTAATGGCTAGTCTGAGAAGTGGATTGCTCTAGCAAATAAAATACAATGTCCCCTGCTGGGCAAGCTACAGCTAGCTGCTGCTGTCATTTGTGCTTCCAAATTAATGCAAAACTGGAAACAGCATAAAGGTTTATAAAGTGTCTTACAACAGATTAAAGATCTTTTTTTTCATAACCCTTCCACAAAACCATCATTTCAATGAGCCACAAACGTTAGATTATGTATAAATGTACAACTCTGCGGCGAGAAGCACATTTCTAAATAAACAGGAAACTCATATTTGTGAATCTACAAATGCAGAAGAATCCTTCTACCTTGAGAAACCCACCTGCAACTGAGGTTTTCAACAACTCGTTAATAGCTGCCTCTCTGTACGAGACCTCGGTTTTTGCCGTTTTTCATGTAATATTTATTCACATGCTCGTGCTGAAAGTGTCTGTCCCCACACTTCACTAAACTGTAAGCAGCTGCTTCTAAAATAACTTTTAAATCTACAAGGAGACGGGGCATGACCAGAATTACAGACTGAGCGCTACAGCAGACAGGATGAAGCTTGTCTTAACAAGCGAGTCTCCAAACCTCGTCCAATTCCCCAGCACTAATGACATAAGTGACCCTTTTATCATAACACAACTTTCTTTAGTAATACTCTTAACTTTGCTTTGAGCTCTGTGGGTTTCTCTTTGGAACGGGCGTGCGTGTGTGCTTCATGCCAGCTCAGTAATCAGAACAGGAACCTGGGGAAAATAGGATTCAGTGTGCTTGACTCCTGGACTGAATAGATGGAGATTTTTCATTTAAGCAATCTGCCAGCGCTACTTGTGACGTGTCTGCTTCACGAAGCCCCCTCTCACAGCCCGCATGCTTCTAAAAATGCAATTTTACACATCATCTCGGTTCAAGGTGCACCCACAATGCAATGCAGAAGTCTGCACGTTTAAGAAAACAACGTGCTCTCCTCAGACTCCTCTGAATATCAGGTTCCAGCAGTCACGGAGAGAAAGCAATAAGAATGAGTGTTCTGCATAAAGGACCCTGCACAGCTTTGGGAGTTTTAAGGATGTGTTGCACACAGCTGAGATAGAGATGTGTTGTCAAAGCAAATGATTTCCTCTTTGTGCATCTTACCGTCACCCTTTGTTCTTTGCAACACCGCACTTGTACAATTTGAAGCCTTGAAAAAGACCAGTTTTTTTTATTTATTAGTTCTCCAGCAACACCAAGATCCCCTGCGAGATCAGGTGGTTAGATTCACAGCGACGTCATTTCATGATTTTAACTCAAAAATGTGTCTAATATTTAAACAAAATTAGTCAACTTTTAATTTTTTATTTTTTTAGGAATATTGTACAGACCTGTTAACTTTGAAACTTTTTACTTTTGTCACTGTTGAGAAATGCTGAACATGTTAAACAGTTAAAAGTAGGAGATTTGTTGTGACTGTGATAGGTGTCCGCAAAAACACAAGACAACTTTATTTTAGGAGTTAGTTAAAACTGTAAAGACGTCTTAAATTTGTCAATATTGATCAAATTACAAGTTAGTGGTTGGCCTTTGTAGAAGTTTCAAATCATACTTATCCCTGCAGCAGTGATTTCAGTGAGTATATATATTTTTTTTAATGCACAACAAAAAACTGAAGGCTTAAAAAAATACAAATCTCTGGTAACGTCGAAACTCCAAGTACATTTAACTCAGTGGTGTAGTCTACATTTTTGTACTGGGTACACTGTACTTAGAAACCAAAGTACACTGGTTAGTACAATGTAATTATCGATTTATTTTTGATTTTTAAGCATATTAAACATTTCCAAATTTCTCTGATGCTTATATTTGAATAAATGAACAACAAACTTTGTACAACAGTTGGCTTTGTATTAAAAACATCTTATAGAACGTATAAAACAGTACGTCACGGAAGCGTTTAACTGCCGTTGAACGTATCAATGACACGCACCTAATGATATGGCATGTATCATTGGGCACTTTTAAGTGGGTATACTGGAATTCTTCTGCTTTCTAGTGGGTATACGGAGTATACACAAGTATCACGTAGACTACACCACTGATTTAACTGTAAATAAGATTCCCACAATGAAAACCTCATTGTCTACATAAGTGAATGTTGTATTTGTCTCTATTCCATCTAGTAGGACATTTGTTATTGTGTATTTTCTATAGGAATTAATAAAAAAAAAAAAAAATAAAAAAAAACTCTCAGGTCAATGAGCCTGAACTGATCCATCATAATCACTAAAGTCCATCGTCTTTGTGCTTGTTACTAACAAACGTCAGAAGATGTGAGCTTATGGGAGTGAGGAGGCAGGGGTGTGAAGCGTAAAGGTGCCATTTCTGTGGTGATCAGTGGTGAGTGCTCAAAGTAAATGAAAGGTTCCTCATGTTACATACACTCACTGACTGTGCACTTTACCTCGCATGATTTTCTGCTCAGACAGAGAAAGATTTGTTCAAAACTTGTAAGTGCAACACTGCCACTAATAGAGTGAACTATTTGCAAAGCCTGTTCTTGTTATTTGGTTAAACACTGACCAGCTGCTCCATATTCAGTTCTTTCCTACTTTGCTGGTGTTTACTATCGATTTGTGGAAGATCATTTATGTCTGAATCAACAAGCGATGCAAAGTGTTTCTGTTGACGGACGCTGTCTGACCAGAATGTGGAAGCTGCCATGTCCCTGCCTGCCCTCTTTGTTGTTAAGTTTGTTGTATTATGTTTTAATGTCTTAAGAAACATTTATATTTGTAACATTTTAGGATTATTTGTATCCTTAGAAACATCAAAAAGACAAAATGGTTATGCAGACTATCCTTCCATATGTGTAATGGAGTATGGTACTAAGTGATAACCACTTTGTGATATAAACTCATTTCTAAAAGATTTATTGCTTCTTTGTCTTTTGTGTACTGTGAGGTACGGGTGCACCGATTGCAGTTTTCTGGCCGATCACCGATTTCTAAAAAGTCTGACCTGCCGATTCCGATTTTGGCCGATACAGATTTTGTTTTATAAGCGACACTGTCGGGTGTTATAAGGTCACAATGCACCTTCAATTTTCCAATCTTATTTTATTGAAAAACATACCCTTGAACAATATCCTAGAAACAATACAAACTTGTTTTAACTAGCCGTGAGGTACTACTCTGAAATATAAATGAAGTTCAGACAATTGTTGTTTAAAACTAAAAAAAACATCTGTAAAATCGGTTTCTCATGCAAGTATCAGCTGATTTCTGATTTTACAAAATTAAGGAAATCAAGGACGATCAATCAGTGCACCCCAACTGCGAGGTGTCTAAATGTTTTTTTTTTTTTTTTGTGCATTGACATACCAATTCATATCAAAAGTACAACTATATACCAATAAATGGAGTAATAGAACTCAAAAATGTAGATTTACAATATTATTATTTACAAACCATCTGAGCCATACGTTTGTATGAAATAGTAAATAACTTAAAAGCACCAGATTACAAACATTTGGTTAAAAAAACTATATCAGACAAAGTTGTTTGGTGATTTACAGCAAGGGCAAGAAGATGGTAAATGGACTATAGCACCTTTCTATCTTATCAAGATACTCAAAACGCTTTACAACACAATCTGTGTCTTCATTTACCCAATCATACAGCACTCTACTAGATCTATACACAGAATAATCAGTGCTTTATCACATTCATACTCTTTGTTAAAGAAATCAGGTCTCTCTTGTAAATGAGTCCCCGAGGCTCAAAGGATTAACATGTATAAATAAAGGTTGAATGAAAAAATGAATGAATGAAAATTCATACACATGGGACACACATCGGAGGCAATGAGGTTTCCAGAGATAGATAAGATAAAGAGACTAACAGATTTAGGAATTATAATTATTTACAAACATACAAATAGTTTAAAGACATGGATAAACGTGTTGGTACTGTTCTACAATAATTGATTAAATAAATAAGCGCACACACACAACTGATGTGGCTCACCAAAACGTGCCAGTCTCATGAAGTTAACAAAGTTTGGTGAATTCCCGACTCTTTGAGAATAATGTAGCCCTCCTGTGTATAGTAACATGGAGCCTAATGTGCTTCAGGAAGATGTACCATGACCTTGGACACATTTTCTGCCATACACAACTACTGTCTGATCTATCTGGGGGTTGC